ACACCGGGCCGACCCCTCTCTGGCAGGGACGGTAGGAGCTGTGCCTGCCTTAAGGGCGGCGGCCGAAAGCCAAGGGTCAGCGGCCGCCGTAGCTGCAGTGCCTCTAAAGCCCTCTAGAGGGTGCTGTGATGAAAACAGGGCGCAGGCCCCGAGTCCCCGGTTTCCGGGGAGTGGAAGAGTTTTGGCAAAACCAGCGCTTGTGGCCAGCGCAGAGCTGGCTGACTCAACTTCGGAGGCAACAGCCCGGCCTCCTCACCCCAGCCCGTCCCTGCGGGCACCCAACAGCTTTGCCCGAGCTGCCTCCCTCACCCCCGATTCTCATCGCCCCCTTCCCATCCCCAACTTCAGTGCCGGGCTGTCCTAGCTTTTGTTCTGGCAGAGATAAGATGTATAAATGATGAGTGGTTGACAAAGTGTACTCCAGTGCCGCAGGCAGCTCATCAATCATTTTCCACATGTCGACGGATAATTGATGCAAACCCTGCAGGCGAAGCTCCATCAGGTGAGAGGAGGGAAGAATTAAATCTGCTGTCAGGAGCCAGGCAGCTGATCTGTATTTAACATTCTTTTTAATTTAGCACTTGTTTGTTTTAAGCAGAGTTTGCGGCCCCGCCTTGCTCTCCACGCTGGCGGGAGGGGCCCGGCTTTGGTGGACTCTCCCCCCAGTAGAGGCCCTGAACCCTGGGTTTCCTGGGCAAGGCTCTGGGGAAGGAAAGCAGACAGGACCACCCAGGACTGCTAGGGAGGTGCAGGGAAACTTTCCTTCTGCCTAAGTGAAGCTTAACATCAAAGGCCCGGCTGTCAAGCAATTATCTGTCAACAGGTCAGGTTGGCAGGAGCTACCTGCACACAAGGAAGAAACCACTTATTGCTTTCTTTACTTAAGAAAAAACACACACACAATAATAATAAAAATAATCCAACCCCATATTTCCTTTATGAAATAAGATTAACACTTTTAGCATAGAGTTTGAAGAGGTTTTGGTTTCCTTACTTCCCTTGATTGGAACCAAACAATTCCAAAGTGAAGCCACCTTTAGAAGGTGCTTGTCAGCTGGTTAAATCTGAGAACCATAGGAATGGTCAAGAGTAAGTTTCACTCTCTTAGTGGACTCCAACTCATTGTTCTATCCCGGGCCTGCAGTGCTCACATTCATGTGCTCACCTGCGTGTGCGAGTGCACGCACACACACACACACACACACACACACACACACTCACTCTCTCTCTCTCCCCCCCCACCCCCCCACAAAGCTTTCCCAGTCTGCAGAAATCTTTGCTTTTGGTGACTCAGGCATTCTGGTGAATGGGAAATTACCACATCTGCCACAATCACCAATTTTCAAAAGAATGATAATATCATGTATAAGACCCTTAACTCCAAAGTGACCCTGAACATCATCCTGCAGTGCCTTAGGGTCATTCGTATGAATATGATGAAATAAAAAATGTTCTGCTTGATAGAATGCCAGATAAACCAGCTTTTATTGGATTTCATTTTCTACAAGGAAATGAGCTGACATCTAAGACGACTCAATCCTAATAGCCAGGCATCAGTCCCCGAGGTCATCACTGAGCCATCTCAGTTGGAAAGGAGGCATCTCTGAAAGCAGAGGTCTGCTCTGAACTTGCCTTCCTGTGTCTTGGGCTCTGAAATCACTATTTTGGTGAGGTCCAAACATGTCCATAACAGAGCGTGAGATGTCCCGGGATCACAGACGGCCCCCTAAGGATCTCTCTACCCCAGTTCTTTTTATGTTTGCAAATCTAACCTTGGGACCCTCTCAACCAACCTCACAAACAGAGCACATGTAAAGGGAGAGGCATTGTTCTGATCATGCTGAATGTTGCATTCAAGATTGGTATCTTGAATTGGACTGGAGATTAATTAGAGTCCAGATATTTTTAACTGCTTAAGGAACACTAACCATCATCAGCCACATATATTCACTCATTTAATCTTTCAACAAATGCTTAGTATGTACCCATCATGTGCTAGGCACAGTAGCTGAGGCCAACAGCATAGCTGTTTATCATACAGATCCTTGGTAGCTGACAAGTTCACAAAAACACTATGATATAAAGTGTCAAGTGCTCTGTCAACAGACAATTCAGAGAAAATGTGCATGGCTAATAAACACATTTTTGAAATGTGCAGCCTCACTAGAAATTGGAGCAGTACAACCTGAATTAAAATACAAGGTTTTTTAATCTTTTTTTTAATAAAAAACATATCAAAATAGCAAAGGTGGGGGATAAACAACATCTAGGCTTATAGAGAGTATAGGGACATAGGCACTGCACCACAGACAGTAGGGAATAAATGGATTAATATTGCCTAGAAGGCAATTTGGCAATGTGCATCAAAGACCCTCAATATTTCTAAGAATTTTTCCTAAAGTGATAGGGATCTATATAAGATTTAAATATAACAATGTTCATTGAAAATATCCTTATAACTAGCACTGGAAATGGTATATGATATGCACATGATGAGGGACGAAGGACTACGGTACATCAGGGGTGATTCCATTCAGCCGAGAGGAATTAGGGCAAGATTCCCGGGGGAAGTGGCTTTACAATGAGGCCTGAAAAATGAATAGGATTGTGTCATGCTGGTCTGGAGAAGGACATGCCAGGAAAGTGGGTGGGTAGGAACAAAAAGGGCAGAGAGAAAAGAAAGCAGAGAGCATTTGTGACAAGTAGGAGTCAGCCAATTTGGTGGAAGCACCAGCACTGTGAAGATGCAGTAGAAAATGTAGGTCCCCGACACATTAGGAGGAGCCAGTTGTGCTGGACCATGAGCAGGTATTTTTGGCAAGCAAGGGAGCAGCCCTATTTGCTTTTCTGCATGGAAAAAAAGACATGATCAAAATCATGCCCTTAGAAGATTACTCCATTTGTATGGTATAAGATAGGCTAGGGACGGAAGGCAGGGAGACAGGATAGATTATCACAATAGTCATGCAAACTGTTCACCAAGAAACAATACACTCCCCATTAACACATAAGACAAAACACAGTCTGGCTTAGTTTCATAGAACAGCAGCTTCTGACCGAAGAATTTTTTTTTTTAAAGTCTGCTTATCAAAACACAGCCTAACAAATGATCAGTGTCCATTTACGAGTTATCAGAACCTGGTATCAATCCCTAATTAAAATTTCAAGATCCAAAGAATTCTAAGACACTTTAAATACACAGAGTAACTAAGAGTAACAGAGGTGAGATTCTATCCTAACGACTTACCCAAATAGGGTCAGTTACTAATAACCTGATGGCCTAAAATATGTAGTAATTTATGAATATTTGTTGCTAAAGGTATAAAAAAAAGTATTCTGAATGAGTCCAAGAGGAGATAGAAGCTGATAAGTCCTCCTGAACCCAGATTCCTTTGTATCTACTGATTGACGGTTGTTCTAAGAAGTATCCAAAAAAGAAGAATTTGAGCAGCCTCAGACAATGGTGTTCAGATATAATAATGATGGTAGCTAACATTTATTAAGTGCTTACTACATGCCAGGCACTATTCAAAGTTTGAAAACCAACTCATTCATTCCTCACAATAACTTTTATAAGTTAAATACTATTATTATCCCATTTTACATATGAAGAAACAGAAATCAGTGAGGTTAAGTAATTTTCCTAGACTAGTACAGCTAGTAAATAGAAGAGCCAGGAACTGAACCAGGTAGTCTGGTTCAAGAGCCCTTACTATTAACTTCTACTTTAGCCTACTTCCCACTAAAACACCTCCTAGCTCGCGTGCAGGCATGGCAGTGGGCAGGTGTGTGTGCCTGGCAGGGTGTGTGTAGACACAGCTGTGGCTGCCGGGGGAGGTGAGAAACAGATTCCCAATGGTGAAGAGCAGGACCGTGGAGCTCTGCCCTGGGAAGAGGCCCACCCCCAGGGAAGGAAGATCAGCAAACGCTTCTGGTTTAGCAACCATATGTGAGAAGAGGAGAGAACAGCGATTCTCGGTAGTTCTTAGAACCCGCCCTCAGCCACCCAGCACGGTGGCGTGCACATCCCCGAGGGAGAGGGGCAGAGACCGGAGTACACTGTGCCCAAGCAGCCTCGCCCTGAGATCCCAGCAACCTAAGGGTCTGTTTTAGGAGACAAGCGTTAAGTCTCTGAACCAGTTTGCAGTGGGAGTTACAAAGAGTATTCGGCCCACTGGAAATGGCGATTATGGGCAGTAGTAGCCTGAGTAGAAGTAGGAGAGTAAAGTTGGAGGTGGCCCTGAAAAGGCAAGGGGCTGGCAGGCTGAGGGGAAGGACTTCGGGATGGAGCAGCACCAACGGCAAAGCCAGGGGCTGAGCAAAGTGAAGGGGTGGTCAGCCCGGAGATGGCTGACAGTAAAGGGCATGCCAGCCCCACCCAGGCTTCTCTGGTGACTTGGGAGGCCCTGGCACTGCTGATGTTGGTTAGGAAGCACACTGGACTGAATCCTGAGGACAGTCACCCTTCCCAGGGGACACCTGGAGGTGCCCACAAGGGGTGGGAGATGCTGAGGACCACCGATATTTTAAAAATTATATGTTTATCACTTTCACATTTGCAATGGAGGGTTTATTTTACTTAGAATAAAGGACTCTCCAATTTGACTCCACTGGGCATCCCTCGCAGATGTTAGAATACGGTAGATGCCCCTTGGAACACAGATGGGAGGTCTTCTGGTAAACAAATTTGCACTGTATGGAACACGTCCTGCTCAATGCTTACACGTTTTTAACGAGTACCTCCCTGATGGGCTCTGGGCTAGACAGTGGGGAACCACGTCAGTAACACAAGCCCCCGACCTGGTACTCTGGGGCGTGCTACTCTCAGGATCACGCCAAGGCCACTCCAGAGTCTCTGGGCATCTTCACAGATGGGAGGACTTCAGGCATGGATTTCACTGCAGGTTTTTTCCACGTCGGGGAGCATGCACACCCACCGTCTCCGTCAGTCAAGCCAAGTGAATGGCTTCACCTTGAGCTCATCTGGCACCTGGCCTCTCTCACGGAGCTACTACTTCCCACACATTCTCTGAGTCAAAAGCAAAGTTTGCTTTTAATTTCTGCAACCGGGAGCTCTCTTTGTTGACAAAAGAGCTGTACAGGCAAACGTCAGGAGCCACATTCCTGAGCAGGCTCACAGCCACCTCCAACTTTCTTGACCTGGAAAGCGATGACAGAACTTCAACCTCCCAGTCTTCATGTCCCATCCACACCAATAACTCAGGGTTTTCCATCTGTGCTGTCTTGGAGGCAGGTGGAATGCCAGCAGTGTGCACTGCACCAGGAATGCGGCCACCATCAGACTTTAGAGCTGTCCTGGGATCCTGAAGACCCTCATTTTCCTCCACACACACCTCCATGGAAATGTCTACTTTTCCTGTTACCGTCGAGAACCAGAACTTCATGGCAAAAGAAAAAAGGAACACTGACAGGTTGTTGGAAAATTAATTAATTTCATTGCCAATGCTCTCGTTTCTCCTCCCAACACAACTACCAGACTTCAATTTTATGGGCCAGTATTAGAGCAGAAGAAGCACTTTATATGCTGTGATCTGAGCCAGTAGTTGGTTAGCTAGTTGGTTTTTTTTTCAAGCTGGTTAAAATGTTATAGTCACACTTCTTAAACATTTTATTATGAATCATGTGAATCAAATTAATTTGCTGATCTTTTGATGCAGGCTTAGACTTTTTTTTTTTTGCATACGGGTCTCTTACCTGGAGTTTAGCCTGAATTATTTTGTACAAACCATTCTTATTATATAGCTTCTAAAATTTCCTGTTTTGTTTTCTTTAAAGGGGAAATAGAACTTAAAAACACTTGCAAGGCAATCTGAGTGCAGACTCCTTCTAGAATTTTATGATTTTTTTCTCCCAAGCTGCCTTGTCCACACTTGGTTGATTATATTCTTTTTTTAAAAGCTAAACCTCATTAAGTCTTTCCAAAACATTCACCTTAGTTTTCATGTAAAAAAAAAAAAAATCTCTGCCCTCTCACATTTCATTGGTTTTATAACATTTAATTAAACTGCATTATTACAATATAAACAACTAACATAAGTAGGTTTGGGAACAGACTCAACTGACTCTTGGTAAACATACACGTTTACCTGGTGGGAGCAGAAGTGCCTGGCCGTGCACATGCAAGGTGATGTGTCTCGGCCAGCATGTTTCACGGGAGGACAGCAGGCATTGGTGAATCCACCAACTTGGTGAAACGCAAGTTAGTTAACAGTGCTTCTGCTGTGTGTGTGCAGGCATGTATATGTATATATACACACACATATATATATTTTTGAGATGGTATTTCATTTTAGTGAACAAGACAACACATTTATTAAGATTGTCTGGCAACACCAATGTGTGGAAAAAAAAAAAAAAGAACTTACTTCTACCAGCACAAGCCACCATGGTTAGGCAGGTGTACAGGATCCTGATGTCCCCCTCAACAAATGTCAGTGCTCATAATGACTGCACAGTGAGCAACCACTTGGCACTTCTTGGGTGAGCAGACAATTTTGTATGTACATGGTTGGCTTTATAAGCAAGTAGCCTAAAAAGTCAGAACCTGCTGTCCAGGCTTGATTTCAAGGAAATATTCAGCCAGGTACCTGGTCTGAGGAGTATCCAACCTTCAGCACAATCTGCTTAGGGTGGTTTTTGGCTGGCAACAGTATCAGGAAGACTGCAGAGAGCCTTTTGCCCAAGATTATTCTTTTCTTATTCCATGCAGAGAGCCTGTCATAACCACAGCCCTTTTAATGTGCAACTCCACAATTCTGCCCACAGCTAAATGGCTCAGAGGAGAATCTGAGCTAAAAGTAACCCCTCTGATAGGCTGGTAGGCAGTGGATGAAGCCCCTTGCAAAGAGCAACAAAAAGAAGAAAATGTATTGCAAGATGGAAAGACAACAGTACGGGGGCAGAAGTGGAGAGACACAAAGAAGAAACAGGAGCCCGAATGCAGACAGGAGGGAGCAGGGTGATGGACACAGGACAGGAGGGAGCAGGGTGATGAACAGTTGGTAGGCGAAGGGAAGGATGAAGGACCTACATCATGAGTGTGGACTCTTTGCTTCTCCATGTTTCCTTGCAATAGTCCCTTGCTACCTAAAGGAATCCTATTAGCACTTCTATAATTCCAGCAACTACAGGTTATGCTGCAGGGCACTGAAAAAAGAAATGTTTTCATGAAAAAACAAACAAAAAAACTCAGAGGTCGGTGCATGCAGAATGCCTATGGATTATCAGCAATTGTGAATAAAAACAAAATAGCCAAAATTATTGCATGAGAATAGTATCCAACCTAAGATACGGGAGGGAGAGAGAAAGCAGATCCCACTGGCTCAGAAGCCAATGGAAAATCCAGCTCCATCATGAACATCCCCGATGTTCCTGAGGCCAAACAAGTCCTAGAGCTGGCTTTTCTCCCGAAGCTCCATCTGAGGGGCTACCTGTGAATATGTTGGTCAGGATATCCCCTCTGTCTGTCAACCTGCACATGCGGGGTTTGAACGTCAAGGCCCAGTGCAAGGTCTTAACTCTCCTTTGCAGCGCACCATTGCAGCCCATAGCTATCCGAGAACATATGGGTAAGGCGGAAGCTTCTCAAAGCAGCAGCTTTATTACTCTCCCCTCTTCCCACAAGCCCCCTAGGAAAAGTGAGAACATGTAGTCAGGACTTCATGCTGGTTCACTTACAAAGGCAAGGGGAGGAATTACCTGCAGGAATAGGACACACAAAACATTCTGTGTTTATACCCTGTGGGCAGAGAGAGATGTCCTCTTCACAGACACTGAGGAAGTCTACAGGGTCCACGAAGCTGCTCCATCCTGGGACGGCTTGCTGGAAGCTCTGTCCCTCCAGCCAGATGTGGTCGTGACGTGGGCATGATCACCAGAAACCCAGACTCTGTCTTCCAGCCATCACACCCTCCTCCCCCAGGTGAGAGACCTATGCTTATTGGGGTTCCCTCCCCGCATCTTCATCTTACTTTGGTTTCCTGCCTATACGGACAGTAGACAATTTTACTCTGAGCACCCACTCAGCCATCAATGGCTCAATATTTTTTGTTAAAGAATTTTTCATCATTTCAGGTGTGATACAATTAGAAAAAATTATTCAAAATCTAATTAGGACACAAACCTTCCAGATATACATTCTTTAAACACAAGAAGCTGTCTTCATAAACTCTGTTTTATCAGCACTTAGCTGAAAGGGAGGTAGCCTCATTACAAAGTATTGTGGACAGCAAAGACAGGAGCCTCTGAAGAATGAACATTCTCCAAATCCTCTCCATGCACAACACAGCCAAACACAGGAAGACATTCACCTGTCTAAGCTTCCCCCAGCCCCCACCCCTGCAAAAATAAAAAAAAGTGTTAACAGGAAGAATTGGAAACTGCTGCTATTTCTATCATGGTCTGCTGAAATGAATAAAATCAATTAAATGTTTGCAGAGGAGGGAACAAGAAGAGAAATAAATACTATCTTATTTGCTTCTTCGTAGGCCAAAAGAAAAAAAAAAAATTGAATCAGAAAATAAACCAGATTCTGAATTCCCTTTGAGTTTCAGCTTCTTAAAGTTACTGATCTAAAAGATAATTGCTAGAAATATCTTCCTAGCGAAGTAGAAATATCAAAAATAATAATGAAGATGCCATACATTTTCCCAGTGACAATATGGCCCCAAACCTCTGCTTTTATGACAGAAATGATGGGGCCTGGGCAGCCCCCAGCTGTCCATGAGCTACCCACAGAGCAATTATCCTCAGGTGGTCAGTGAGAATATTTAAGCAATGGGGGGCAAAGCATGGAGGTTCACTGTCCCAATGGTGAAACTGAGGCCCCACAAGCGAGTCCTTATCAGAGACGTAGGGGGCAGCCAATATCTGAAAAGGACTGAGACTACTTAGTCTTGCGAGTGCTGAGGACACTGACCCAACCTCTACTCATCGTGTGGCCAAAGGGCTTAAATCCAGGACTCCCACAGGGACCCAAGTCCCAAAGGTGTGGCCTGGTACAATTACTATTGAGTTTCGCCAGCAAGACCAGGATTCTTTTTATCAAGGGCAAATAGCTTGCCAGAGGCATTTAGACAAGAACTTACCAAAATATAGCATTAGCTGTCTCCCCGACACATTACTCCCCTGTTTGTTCAATAGCAGTGACATTTAAACAGCAGTAAGAGCAGAGCAGAGGGAGGCGGCCTGAGAAAAGGTGTGAGTTTCCTGTGTGCCGGCGGCATCACTTTCAGCCATGATACACTTGGCACAGAGCGTTATCAAAACATTGACACAGAGGGTGTCAAAGTGAGCGGGGGACCTCATCGTCTTGTTACCTTAGCAGATCATACTGGGTCACTCTGAGGGATTGCTGCCAAGGGAAGAAAGCAAAATCCCAACGCTCTTCCAACTGCATCACTGTACCAGGAACATTCTAGACGTGATCTTCTCAGGGATTGGGGGAGCTTAGTACTTGACAATGATGGCAAAGGAGACAGCAGTAGCCATGGAGGGTCATGGTTGGGTCCAGAGATAGTGGGAGAGGTGGCACAGGAAGAGAGAATAGCAATGAGGAAATGAAGAAGAGGCAGAAGAAAGTGAAAATTAAGGGAAGATTAAAAAGGTGGAGTGAGAGGAACAAGATGGAGTGGGGGAAGGAACAAAAGAACTCCCACCTCTTTGGTAGTCATAATGACAATACAATAGAGAAGGTTTGTCTCTCATCCACCCATCATCCACCTTCCAGCCAGTTAGGAATTCATTCTGCAAATGTTTGCTGGATCTCCTCATATGACACAGAGTTTGAGGGGCACAGGAAGATATGCAAAGCGTCTTCGAGAAAGTTACAATTCATGGAGATGACAGAAAATTGAATAACAAATCAGGCCATAAGGCAGGACTAGGGGCATTGCCAACTGGCCTTGGCCAGGATACGGCTCCTTAATAAGCACCAGCTTCTTAGACACTGCAGGACGTGGCCTCACATCCACCTTACTAGTGAAAAAGTTCCTTCCAGGTTTTATTTTCAGAGAAGCCAGGACTACCCTAATCTTCCTTTTTGAGCCTTTATATGCATAAGAAACACTGGAAGAATATTAATAACAATACTATATCGATGGTTAACACTTACAGACCACTCATCAGCACTTTTCTAAGTGCATTACGTGTACTGACTCGTTAACCTTCCGAAAGTGGGAGGGATCATTATTAGCCCTAAAGTCACAGAGCCAGTAGAATTCAGGCCCAGGCAGTGTGGCCCCCGGGTCTGAGGTCTGTTAGCCACCACTCTATGCGGTCTCCACCGGAGGACAGCATGGGGAATGGAGAGTTGTGCTGACGAAAGCATTGCATGCCGAACAGCATGAGCAGACTGTATTTTTTTGGAGCCCCCCCCCAA